ACTTCGCAAGGCTATATTATCCGCATTTTACAACATTTCGCAACGAAACTTCGGAATATTACTAATTTTGTGATGCTCTTTCAAGCTGTGATGAAATTGTTGCCCAGGCATATCTAGATCAAAATTTCACTCATAAGGGGAAAGGTCTATTGTCTGGGGTTAGACAGAGAAACTAATAAAGTAGGGTGAGAGAACTAGTTACATTGAAAGAACTCCTTAAAATGTAGAATAAGTCATTTTACAAAATTTTATATCCTTTGGTTAGATGATATTTCAGTTCGTTTGATATGTTAATCAGATGACGTCATACGCTAGGTCAACTTTTTGGCAGTCCACATGACCCTTAAAACTTCAAGCATCTAGATTAGTCAATTGAATCATCGATATAGATGTGAGTGATTTGATCTATTCTGAACAGCGAGCTTTGTGACTTTGGCTGACTGCCATCTTTGAAAATATTTTACCAGCTTGTCACGTCATAGGTTTATTTCATTTGCGCATCAAACAAACGCAAAATATCTCGGGAATGACAAGAGGTAACTAAGAAAGGTTGTAAAATAACCTATTTCACAGTGTAATATAGACAATTCCCATTATAGACTAATTTTAAAACTAGGCAAGGAGATGCAAATAAATCACCACAGCTAGAAAGAGCATACCAAAATGAGTAAAATTGCAAAGTTTGGTTGCGAAATGTTGTAAAATGAGGAAAATATAGCCTTGCAAAGTTTGCAGATTTTGTATACTTTTGTATTGCGTACGGAAATTGCTACCACATTTAAGCCGAAAACTTTGCAATTTTACTCATTTTAGTATGCTCTTTCCGGGAATACACTTTTTTTGCCAAGATAAAAAATTAGTCTATAAAGGGAATTGTCTATTAACGAGTTCTTTCTCTCCAAACAGAACTGAATTTCATTGCTCTAATACCCTTAACTTTGACTCATATTGCCTAGGCTGCTGGTGGTTTTTTGTTTGTGGTAAACTGTGTTTCTGGTAATTTACTGTATGTCTCGGATTCAATAACACCCGTACTCAAACAAGCCCAGGTTAGTGTACACTGCATATACTGTATTGGGGCATGTCAATAAGTCCAACACCATATTGAAATGCTGAACCAGTACCTTAGAACTTGACTAAGTTCGAATTTTTTATCTCTAGACCGACTGGGAAAACAGACCTATTTATGAACTTATCCATCCAGATGACGAGAAAAAGATCAAAGACCAACTGTGTATCGACCCCGCCGACTCTGGGAGAATTCTCGACTTGAAAAGTAAGGTTATAGTTTGACATGATCTTGTTCATCGAGCTTCGTAATTTTTTGTGTATGTTTTTTTATGAACGTTTATTTAATGTTTTTCTATTTATCATTTCATCCCATAGCTGGAAGTGTTCGAAAAGAATCTTCGTCAGGTAATGGTTAAAAATAGAGATGACATGATCAAGTGCCAGAGCATTTAAATCTATTTACAAGAATATAAGAATATACTACCGTCTACCGAGTATCCCAAGAAAACTGGACACTGTTGATTTCGTGTAACGTAAAAGCTATAAAACCTATCGCTGCAATAAAGATCATTGAAAACAGAGATCATTGCATTCCGAAAGGACTAACTTAGATTTTGATATATACTGTAGCACTTGAATTTACATGCAATATTGACTGCGCTATATTGATGTTTGAACGTTGAACTACTGTTTTTGAAAATGCCAAAAATTAGAATAAAACAACCTTATACTAACCGATGTATAGTTATATTTGTTAAATATTATTTTTATTTTGGTTGTATCTCGCTCAATATTGCATGTAAATTATTTTTCGTGGCGAATTTTCTTCGCTGACCAATCACATTACCAAGATTTGTTTTTCGCTTCGCGCGAACAAATTCGCCTTGTGGAAAATGGGTTTAAGGGTGAATTAGGTTTGCTCTATACTGACCGCTGTCGCCATGGTTAAGCGCAGTTAATACTACCATAGTTGATAGAATAGATGGTTTGGAAACTCATTAGAATGACAATATAACTCATTATCTATGTTAGTCAACGTTTATTCATAAATATTGTCCTTCACCGTCACGTGTGTATTGCATTTTTGCCAAATCCACCAATAGCAATTTCCAATTTACCTTATTGTTCGAGTCACGGATAGGTAACTTTCCTAAAACATTGCTATTGGTTAGTTGGGTAAAAATACAATACACACGTGACGGTGAAGGACCAGATTTATGAATAAACGTTGACTAACATAGATAATGAGTTATATTGTTATTCTAATGAGTT